TTTTTTTTTTTTTTTTTTTTTTTTTTTTTTTTTTTTTTTTTTTTTTTTTTTTTTTTTCTTGCTCGCCCGATCTCAAGTCTCTATCTTCAATGTAGTGTACACATCCGGGAAAGTGAGTCAGAGCTTGCCTCGTGCGGGCAATCTCACTGATCACGATGGATAGGTGGAAAAAACATGCTTAGACGCTTTTTCTACAATGTGCAGGACTCACACTGCATAAGAAAACATGGTCAGCATTACGTAATGCACATGTCCCGACCATATGTGGAAAATGCTAACGAAGCACTGTCCGCTTCACTGTCTTTGTGTTTCGAATGCACTGCGTGCACAGGAAATGGACAGCGGTCCACTGGTGTGCGACTGCGGCAGACCTTTCATGTCCTTACAGACTTTAAACTCGCATCGTGCGAGGGCATGCCCGGCCGTGGTGGAAGAGGGGGCGCAAAGGCAGGAGAACAATGCTGCCCACGACCCGAGGTCATCCGACATGGGCGCAGCGAATCTCGCAGCTGATGACAGCGACGACGCGGGGGCAGAGGACAACGCGAACGGGGCAGCGGGTGACAACGCAGAGCCGGAAGCGCAACCCGTCGAACCTTTTGACAGCTCGCGCACGCTAGCAGCGCTTATTTTGTCCGCACGTGGCGGCATCGGTATGTCGTATTGCGACGTTGATGCTCTCTTGTCACTTATCAAAGACCCGAGATTCAGCGCGGCGGACATTGCGTACCGCAACAGTCGAGAGTGCTTCGCACGGGCGGGCAGTCTCGCAGAGGCTGTCGGGTGGAAGGAGTCGGACCTGCGTAGTGACGACTGGCCTGAAGGAGCGCACGCCATCTTGTGGCACCGCAATTGGTGAACTGCATTCTTGTCGATAATGCAGGTCGCGTTGCAGAAATGGGAGACGGTTCATTCCCTTGAAGTGTCCCCGCCGTCGGACGACCACAGTGTGTCCGGTCCGCGCAGTGGGGCGCTAAGCTATCACACGCAGTCAACCATTCGAGCGCACAAAGGTGTCGACGGGAATGGAAATCCACGATATGTGATCCCTCTCTCACTCTACTCCGACAAGACACACACAGACGTTCGTCAGAAACAGACCGCATACCCTCTTATGATGTCGCTAGCCGACCACGCGTCGGAAGCTGGCCTATCTCCCCGTGCTTCATCATCGACCCCGTGACAAAGGATGGGGTCTTCAGTCCAGCGCATTTAGGAAGCGAAAGGCCGTCATCTTCCACATGGCCCTTTCGATGGTGTTGCAAGCTGCGAAGGAGGTGTCGCACGACGACATCACGATACCATCGACGCGATTCAAGGACGTGACTGTCCACCCTTTCCTCCTCAACTATATACAGGACTATCCAGAACGATGTGTGCTGGCGAATGTGAAGTTTGGTGTATGCCCCACATGCACCGTGTCGAAAACGGACCTCGATGTTGTGGCCGATTTCACGGACTGCAGGAGATCCCAGACACTGGAAACCCAACTCGCAGAAGCCCTGTTCACGGCGGACGACGATGACGTGCGCCGCGAAGCGGGAGGGCGAATGGCAGAGTTGGACATGCATAGGCATGTTGAACAGAACGGCCTTTGGGGGTTCTACAGGGGGCCAAGCGGAGATGATCCTCAGCTAGACTACCACCTCGCATTGCAACCAGACCGTATGCACACGATCGAACATGGCATATTCCTACATATGGTCGACGCATTCAGGGTGGCAGCCTTTGAGAAGTTGCCGCACACACCGCAAACTGAGATCCTGAAGGAACTCAATGCGAGATTGCAATGCGTTAGTGAGAGATATACGCGAACATATCCCCAACTTGTGCTGCCCGTGGCCACAGGCAGCGATTTTTTTTCTAGAGAGGGACGCTTCGAGGCGAAGCAGAACCGGTCTGTGATGACAGTGTGTATGTTCCTCATTTTTAATATAATCCCGCGCTCGACAGGCAAGGGCATTACCGCCTGTTTCGTCAAGCTGATGCAAATGTACGTACGTTTGTTTCGACGCACAGCACACACTCAAGCTTCCCTCGACGAATGCGACGCGTTGATGACGGACTTCGTAACGACCATCAAAGCCAAATTGGGAAGATACCAACCATCGAATTGGAAACTCCCGAAGTTGCATGATCTTATGCACATGAGAGCGAGTATCGAGCGATCTGGTGTGACCGACACATTCGCTGCAGACGTTTGGGAGCATCACCACAGGAGATTCTGCAAACAACCGTACTTGTCATCGAACAAAAGGAAAGCGTCAACGCAGATGGTCAACCACGTGCGCCGGTCGCTGGCGTTGCAGAAGGAGACCGGAATTGTAAGGAAAAGAAGAAAAAGGGCCGTTGCGAATAGGTCTTCTGTGACGGACTGTATGGCAACGGGGTTGAACACCCTGGCACTACGTGATACGTCAATCCTTCAACTGCGCTCGTTCAACATCGATCAAGACCAGATACGCAAGGTGGAAGGCGTTCACAGTCGTGCGTGTCAGATACTCGAAGAGCTCCCTTTCAGAACCAATTTTCGAGCAGCGATTACGGCGTACATGGCGGAGAATGGTTGTCAACCTCCTACCGATGATCTCGCTATACACACGCGAACACATCTCGCCATCGCTTGCACGCAGGACGGAACAAACAGGGGCACACTTGTTCAAACTGCACGAGCGTCGTCGCGGTTCCACGGGAGACCAGTGCACAACGACGTCACAATAAGAGCAGCCAACGAATGTACGTGGTTCGCATCAGTGGCCATGTTTTTCGTCGTCGATGCACCCACAGACGGCGGAAATGTGAAACACAAGTGCGCTTTTGTGCAGTGGTACGAAGAGGTTGACAGTGAACGGGAACACGTGACAGGTTGCAAGGAATGAAAATGGGAGAATGCGAATAGACATCAGCACAGCAGCGTCGTTTCGACTGACACCATCGTGGACACCGTTCACATTGTTCCGCGCTTCTGTAAACCACAATGGGGATCGAAAATGCATGCGCGCCACCGTGAGGACTGTTTTTTTTTTTAAATTACATATTGTAGAAGGAATAAATTTGAAGTTTGTGTGTGTGTGAGAGAGAGAGAGAGAGAGAGAGAGAGAGAGAGACTCATTTCAATTACGACAAAATCAATAAGTCTGTCTATTTCTTGTCGTCGACAAGATGGTCATGCTGTCCTCGGCCGAATTAAATCTTTCTAGTAGCTGTAAACAACTATGATGGCGTAACGCTGATATAACTACGAAGGAGAACCAAAACCTCATGCGAAACGAAGGTGACAAACAAAAGTTGACTACTGCGGGCCATGTAACCGAACACCGCTGCTGGTTGTTCTCGTTCTGGCCCGCAGTAGTCAACCTCTCTCTCTCTCTTTCTCTCTCTCACGAACTCTCTTGTCTCCACCTATGTACAAAGGGAGAAAAAAAAAAAAAAAAAAAAAATCAATTACATCATCTCGACGAAAACCGTTTGCCGTTGCTAAAAAACACAACTAATCCTCTGTGTCTTCTTCCTCTCCCTATATGTGTGATCAGGAACACAAAGTTGCGACGCCGCAAAGCGGGGAGGGGCGAAGGGGGAGGAGCGACACGGAACACAGAGTAACAAGGCGCAGGTCAGACAAGGGGATCAAGGATGGCAGAATCGCACAGTAGTAATTGTTCCATTGCTGCGAAGGGGCCATACAAGCGCATCGAAACGGGTAATGATGACAGGGACAGAAAACCGTTGTTGCCAACGAGCAGCCGGAGGTCAGCACAGAGCTGGCAGGACATGTTATCAGACCTTTGGTGCGCGAAAATGTACGATTTACTGACGGAGGGTGCAGCGGAGTGGCCCCAGTCCAGCGGGGAACAGTCTTCTTGTTGTGTAGGAAAACGGAAAGCAGGGGACATGACTACTGCGAGGGATGAGCAGACGGACATTACTGACGTGAACGAATTGTTCCCTTTTACATGAAAATTTGTGCAACACGCCATACCCGCATCAAAATCTAACATTGAACGGTTGTCGGGCGACGGATGGCTGAACGACAATATTATTGACATTTATTTGCAGTCTGTGTATGAAGAGGTTGGGCGGGGCCAGGACAGGTCTTCTGTTCACGTCAGCACAACTTTCTGGCATCCCGAGGTCGTCGCCAATGAAAGTTTTTGGCAGTTGAGGAAAAAAGGATGGAAGGACGCAATTAAGATCAGACCACAGAAGTTGCATTGACTGTGCAACGAACTGCGACGCGCATCGGTCACTGTGATACCAGTGAACCGTAACAAACACTAGACTCTTCTTCTGTTGCTGAATGTGAGGTCTTTCTTGGAGGTCACTGCGGACAGCCGCATATCCGACCCTCCCATTGCTATCGTCGTTGACTCAATGAGAGGAAAAAAGCGAGAAGAATGGACGGCGTTGCGAAAACTTTTGTGGCACGAGTACCTTCACGAGGCTTCTAATTTGCAGTGTCTCACCCCCGAAAAGGGTCATTTTTCGTGGGTGACATGCAGGGATCTGGCAGGAAGTAAACTTGTGCATGCAGAATGCCCGCAACAGAACAATCAGACGGACTGTGGTGTTT